AACCTCACTGGAGCAGTCCCAACCTCACCGGGGCCGTCTTGACCTCACCGGGGCCATTTCAACCTCACCGGGACGTTTCAATCAGTCCTCCACTTCTGCAAGGTGAGAGGGAGCCCTATTAGAGGACTTCCAGGGGCTCCCGCCCTCTCATTGGCTCCTGCTTGTGGGTGGGTTACATTTTGGGATTGGGGAGATTAAAGAGAGACGGGTGTCTATGGGGCCATGTTTCTCAGGGGGTGGGGCTAATGTTCATTTAAGCCAAATATAAATTCCTCACTCCAGCCCCCATTGTGCCCGGCCGTCCTCCCACCAGTGTCCCTGGTGCACTGCTGTGGCTGGTCTTTCTGTGAACACGCCAACCTCCGGTGCCTCAGGGCCTTTGTGCCTGCTCTACGCTCTGCTCAGGTTGCTCTTCACCTAGTCCAGTGGTCGGCAAACTGCGGCTTGCGAGCCACATGCGGCTCTTTGGCTCCTTGAGTGTGGCCACGAAGTTTCAATTGCACTGTACGTGTGCACCCGCACGTGGTATTTTGTGGGAGAGCCACACTCAAGGGGCCGCAGTTTGCCGACCACTGACCTAGTCCATCCTGACTTCTAGTCACCGAGGGCTCAACTCAGGTCACCTCCTTAAAGGCCTCCCTTTAGCCCCCCGTGTCTCAGACCCTGTTTTCTGCAGAGACCGTCAACTGTCAACTGGTGGTTGTTGGCCCCATTTCAACAGCAACAGGAACCCCCAGTGTCGGGTGTGGTGAAGAAGGAGACTTTATTCAGTGCACACAGCTCAGTTAGGATACAGCACGGCTGTGGAAACAGCATAACTGTGAGGCAGCCCCGGAGCCAGGCCCCTCCCCGGCTGGACAGCTCTGCTCTGCTCCTTGATGCTCTGCTCCCTGGGGTGCTGGCCAGCTCCACTTTGCTCCAGTCTGCTCTGGCCTGTGCTTGTCTGCTCCTCTCCACTCGAGTGAGGCATCGTCAGCGTCTCAGCTCAGCCAGGGAGACTCAGTCCTCAGTGGAAAGGCAGAGTGCCTTCCCAGAGCTGGCTTATATGTCGGAAGTTTCTGCCCTTAGTCCCTGATTGGTCTGTCCTCATGCAAATGAGGACTCAAAGTTTGATTGGCCCAAAAAGGCACTGTCCTGATTGGTCAGGATAGAGCTGTGTGGAGCTGCCCAGCTCCAATTGGGTGGGGAAAACCTCAGTCCTATTGGTTGAAATGGGATTCCAGGCTCACATGGCAGCAGCACGGTGCAGGCAGGCAGGCAGTCCAATGCAGGCTTCTCCTTGAAGTTGACATGAGAGACCCCTGTGTAGAAACTGCTGCTAGGTTCTGTTATTTTTTTTTTTATTTGAGTCCAGTTAGCCACTAGGAGCCCTTCTTAGTAGGTGTCTTTCTCAGGTGCACAGCACCCATCAGTGTTGGCAATTTTTCCTTTTGTTTCATGTCTGTCTTTCCCCCACTAACTGTAAGATCCAGGAGGTAAACAACCTCATCTCACTGTTTCCTCAGCACCCGGCACAGTACCTGGCATAGTAGGTGCTCAGTTAATATGGGTGGGGTGTGGGCTTTCCTGCTACCTGCTTTCTGCTCTGCTTCCTCCGTCCCCGGGTTAAGCTGGAGAAGGGGTTTGGGGGAGCAAGGACAGTGGCCTTTCTCCAGCTTCCCTGAGCCTGGGAGGGTGGGTTTAAATGCAGGGAAGAGACGGGAGGTGTCTCTATCTAATTCTCCATCCCAGCCCCCCTCCCCCCCCCCCAAGCCGTTATTTCTGTCCCGTCAGCCTCAGCTGACAACCTGGGTCTCTTTCTTGTAAGATCCCGAGGAGAGAACAGTGACTCCTGCCTCCAGTCAGTTGCACTTCAATCCAACTGCCCCTCCACCACTCACACAAATGTATTTTCTCTGCTGCTTAATTTTTAAATTGGGTTTTCTGAGACGATGCTCAAAGTGGATTAGAGCCGACATTTGAATAGGTGCCATGCTGTACATGAGATGGCATCCCCTGGGGCTGGAGCTCTGCAGCCAGACCTGGCTCCAGGACTTCCTCGCTGTGGGCCTGCTTCCCAACTGTAGCACGGGGATGACTGGACCTGCCTACTAGGGCTGACACAGTGGGTATACAGCACTTGGCATGTTGCCTGGCACTAAACGGCTATTTTTAATTCTTATATTTTGTTATGAAGGCTCCTGAAGGCAAAGTCCAGAGGGCTAGTTCAGGCTCTGCCATTCACTGCTGACCTTAGCAAGTCCCCTTTCCTCCCTGAAGCTGTGTCCCCACTTTTAAACTGGGTGTCTGGGGGTGAGGGTGGGGTGACTCTGGCAGCTAAAGCAATAGTGTTGGGCTCAGTACAAAGGAGATACTTTAAAAAAACAACAAACAAAAAAACAAAGGAGACACTTTGACGAACATCAGGCTGCATGTAAGGTAGTGAGCTCCCCGTCACCTCTAGTGCACTGTGTAGAATGCCAGAGCAGGAAGGAACCTCCAACAGCCAAGCCTCTCATTTTGAAAAAGACACAGAGTAACACAGACCTAGGAGCTTACGATCCCCTGCCTGCCCGTCTGAGGCCTCCTCCATCACACCACCTACTGGATGTCCAGGACAATCACCTAGAGAGCCTGGGGTCAGCTATGGGCCCGCTACCAACTGGCTGTGTACCTTGGCCAAGCGTGCCAGCTGCTGCCAGTGGCAGAGGGGAGTGGGTGGACGAACACCAGAGCCCTCCACCCCCACTTTGCAGGGACTCCTCTAGGCATACACGGTGCATGGCTTCCCAAAGCTGCTGGCAGGATCAGGCAGCAGTTGCCGGCGCTGGCGCTGTTTGATAACACACCTCTGCTGCCTCCTGCCTTCCCTGCCTCACTGCCCGCTCCCCAAGCAGGGCTTCCTGGGATCCCCTCTAAATCAACTCATTGCACTGACTCCCTTTGTGGAGTCAATGAGTTAATAAAGTACTCACAATGGCAGTAGGCTTGTTTCATAAGTAAAAAAAAAGAGATAAAGAACCTTTACTTATATAAATTTCCACCCCCTTCCGTTCCAGCCTCCTCAGCAAATACAAATATTAGGTTTCAACAATCTTTGGGACGCACACACACACACACACACACACACACACATTACTCGGCGTGCGGTCCGGGCCAGCGTGCAGGCGAAAGGTGCCTGGTGTCGGCGTCTGGAACGCCCCGCTCAGCCGGATCTCAGGGCGCAGCTCTCCCTCTGGTCTCTGTGGCTGCCAGCCACGGTGTCTGCGAGGCACAGACCGGCCCAAGGTAGCTGGGTGTGTTTATTCTGGGGACCCCACGCCTACCAGGGCCCCCAGCAAACTGTCACTGCGTGGTAATCACCGTTTTTCGTGTGCTTCTGGTACCCCCGCTTGACTAAGCGCCCTCCACAGCCCAGATCCTGCTCCTGTCCACCTAATGGGGCTGTTGAATGGATGGCACCTCTGGGCTGATGACCACGCCTCCGGGACCCGGATTTCCCATCCGTCCCCCAAAGCTCCCAATGCGTTCCCGCTGCTTCGTTAGTTCCTAGGCTCAGCGTCCAGTCCAGTGACATGGCAGCAGCTAGTCCGGGGGCCAGGCAAGACGTAAGCAACCGAGTGACCTGGTGGACAAGCAGGCCTTGGGCGGCGTGACAGGGGCAGTGTGCGGAGAAGCGTGGACTGATCAAGAGGCCAACAGCTCGCTCACAAACCCAGGTGCCTGGAGCCTCCGGGGCCCTGCAGGTGGCTCCCCACTCCCGCACCTCCTGGCCCGCGGCCCACACCTCCCTCCGTCAGTGTTGAGGACAGGGTCCAGCCTCTGTGGCCCGGGGTCTGACAACCCCACTTCATAAGGGCTTCTCCGAGTCTCGGCCACGGCAGCCTGGGTGCCCTCCGCGGTGGGGGTGGGGGTGTTTTACAGGCAGGGCCGAGGCGCACACAGCAACGGGGCGCACACCTAGGACGCACTCATGCCTGTGGGCCCCGTGGAGAGCATGGCCACCATTTGGGGGGTCTGGCTTGAGCTCTGAGCATGGCTGGGGCCCGGCTGGAAAAACAGGGGGTCCTTGCCCTTCTCCGAGACACCCAAGGGTGCCAGGGAGGCCGGAGGGAGGCTGGCCTCCAGCAGAACCCCGCCTGGCAGGGGGCTCCCCAGGGGCTCGGAGCTGCCTCCACAGCGACAGCCACAGCAGCGGGGGGCCACGCCGTGGGCCTCGCCTCGCTCCTCCTGGCCATGACACTGCTTCAGGTGGCCGCACAGGTGGCAGGTGAGGGCCGAGTAGACGATGCCACTGCCCAGGTCGTCCCCGAGGGGGGCCATGGCCTGCTCCAGGGCGAGCGGGCGCTTCTGGCTGTCCTCTCCCGGTGCCACTGGCTCCAGACCCGGGCACTCTGGGGAGCCGCTGGGGAGGAGCGAGTTCTGAGGGCTGGGAGGTGGCCCCATGTCCAGCCCAAAGGTGAATAGGGGGACAGGGGTAGGCACCCCAGGGCTGCCAGGAGTGAGGCCCTGGAAGGGCCTGTAGCCCCCCTCCCCACTGCTGGCCTCCACCCCAGGTGGCGTTGGGCACACAGCACCGCTGGCCAGCAGGCTGGAGAGGGCCTTGTACCCGGCTTCTCCGGATGGGCCACCCGCCTCGCTGCCCTGGGCGCAGCCCTGCCTCACCGCCTGCGCGAACTGCCGGTAGCCCCCGGGGGCCGAGGCGGGGGCGGCCGCCCTGTGCTGGAGGACGCTCCACCGGAGGCCCTGCTCCCAGGTTTCTGGCTCAGGCTGGAGCGCAACGGGTGGCTCAGAGGCCTGGGGAGCATAGAGGACATTGAGGTCCCCGTCCTCCTGGTGTTCGGCCAGCTGCGGGTCTGAGTCCAGCTCTCCTGGATCCGAGGGCGGGCACAGCAAGCTGCTGAAGCTGCGGTACGCGGGGTTGTCGGTGATGGTGGCCGCGGGCAGCTCTGCGACAGCCGGGCAGGCTGGGCTCTGCGTCCGAGTGGCTGGGGGCGGCTCTGGGTCAGAAGGCTGCCCACTGCCCCGAAGTGAGGCCTCCTGAGGCGCCTCACCTGGTAACTCAGCCCAAGGCATCTGAGCACTCACACCTGCTGACGGAGGAAGAAGGCAGGGCTCCCCTGAGCCTGGCGGGCAAAAGCCCCCCTCCGCGCCCCCGAGGAGGTCCAGGAGCAGGCTCTCCGTCAGCCGGGCCGCGATGCCCGCCCTGCCCTCCTGGAAGCTGCCCCCGCTGCTCTCAGGCGAGGGGCAGAAGCTCCCTCCATCTTCCTCCACCGGCTCCTCTTCCTCACTCTGCACCGGGGCCTCGAGCAGCTCCACGCACTTCACCACGCTGATGCTCTCCGGCCAGAGGACCATGCTGCTGACCTCCACGGGGCGCCACGCTGGTTTCCCAGGGCCCTGGACAGGCCCGCTCCTGGCCGCCTGGGAGGAACCGTCACCCCTTTCCACGCCAGGCTCCAGTAAGCAGGGCAGGAGCTTCGTCAGACACGTCTTCCAGTATCTGCAAGAGCAAAGTGTGGTCAGGGTTCAGTGTCTCCACTCGAAAAACTCCTATTCATCCCTCAAAACCCAGCTGGAAGCCACCCTGGACTGATGCCTACCTATTGCAGATGTGCCTCCTGGCTTTACAATCACTGCTATTAGTCTCCCCCACGCCTGCCCTGGGAGCTCCTGGAAGGCAGGGGCCCTGTCTGCCTTCGGGATGTCTGGAGCTCAGCACATAACCTGGGACCCACTACAAGCTCAGATTATTGAATAAATCAAAGTCTTTGTCAGGGATGATAGGATTTAAAACACATACCGACACACAGCATAAGGAATGCCCACTCAGGATGGCTGCAGGTCCAGGGCTCCCAGCTGTGCCAGGTGTAAACTTTAGCTACTGCCGTGTGGGAGGCCCAGAGGCCCTGAGGGGGCGCTGAGGAGGCTAATGTGATGGTGGCATCCTCAGGGTTTGGGATAGTGGTGCTTGCCAACCAGTACGCAGTTACGTCAGCACTTTAACAACGGGCACAGCTGCCCGGGTACTTGGCTCTACAGCCTCGCTCAGGCCAGAGTGCACCCCAAGGGGCTCAGCACCTGCCTGACCCACCAGGGAAATTCAGCAGCCACCTTTCCAGACCACTCCTCCTCCTGCTACGCCTCGAAGGAACAGTGCTGAATGCCAAGGAAGAGAAGGCAGACATGGGGGGGCGAGGGACCCCACTCTCAAGATGGGGCCCACCACGCCAATCCCCCCCTTCCAAATCCACACAGGCCATGACTGAAGTTCATATACATACGGGCACTTGGCTGGTTCCTGGCCCCCGGACCTCTTCCCCCGCAGTGGCACCTGAAACAGAGAGACAGACAATGACCAGGGCGGAGAGGCCTCCCGCCAGCCTGGCCACAGCGAGCTCCGTGTTCGCCGTGGGAGGACTGTAGGTCCCGACGTCACCCGGGTCGGAGGTCAGACCGGGCCACTGCCGCTCCCGGAGCCTCGGTCCCTGGGAATGAGTGAGGCCGCCCTAATGTTAAGTTGCTGTGGCTGAAGGCAAAAACGGCCACTGTCACCTGCAGCTCCTCCACCCCTTGGATCTGGCCTGGCCCTGGGACTTGCTTTGGGCAACAGAAAGTGGTATAAGTGACACTGTGCCAACGGCCCAGCCTGCGGGAGGATGAGACGCCCAGCTGAGTCACTCCATTGCGCAGGCAAGAGTCAGACAACTGTCGCACCTGTGCGTGAAGCCGCTGGGGACGAGCCAGCCCAGAGAGCTGCCCTGCCCAGCCCAGACCCCCCACCCGACCCCCCTGCTGAGTGACCTGAAGAAGCAAGAGCTACAGATATGGCTTGTTTCAACCAAGTTTCGGGATAATTTGCTACACAGCAAAAGCTGACTGATACAGGGACGACGCTGACTCTGTGCAGGGCCCTGTGATACACTTTACATGTACTGTCTCGGTGAATTCCAACCGTTATATAAACACGACGACAACCCACACGAGAAAACCGAGGCTCGGAGAAGTTAAGCCACTTGCTCACACCCCGTCCACTCTGTAGGTGAGTGGCAGAGCCGGGGTTCAAAGTCAGCACCTCCGACTCCAGAGCCTGCCTGAGGGTCGCTGGAGACCTGAAGGCCCTGCACCCCCTGCCTCCTTCCTAGAGAACCCCGATGAGCTCAGAGAAACCACATGTGGCCATCGCTCAGGGCTGGCCACCCGGCTGGCCCACGGTATCCCCACTCCTTGCAGGTGAAGGTTTAGGAACGAGCACGTGATGCCACTCAGGCCAATGAGAAAGGAGGAGATTTGCTGGCGCTTTGGCGCAGTTTCCTGCTCGTAAGAGGAACACACAGGAGCTGTGTCCCCCTCTGCCTGGCCTCTTGGCCTCCTGCCCTGGTACAGGTACCTCCCCAGGGGGTGACATGCAGATGACCTCAGGGGCCATCTCCTCCCAAGGGAGGGAACCCACCCAAGGCTGAAAAGGTGGCTCTGAAAGCCGAGGGGAGGGGGCAGCCTCTGGGCCCCCGATGACCAGCACTGAGACCTTCCTGACGGCTCAGGTGCAAATCCAAAAGCCAGTGCGTATCTAACATCCCAGACGCCTGAATCCCAGCTCCCGATAGGAGCATCCACAGCGTCTGGACCAGCCCTCTCCTACCTGAGGCTCCTGGATGACAAGAGCCACGAGGGAGCTGTGGGCCGGGCTGGGGATGTGGTCCCACCATTCCTTCTTAATCCTGAAAAAGGAAAGGAAAACACGTTGGTCTCTCTTCCCATAAAAATGATCACATGGCCAGTACTTCTTAGGGGTCAGGACTAGGTTGATTGGGTTTGGGATGTCTCACCCTGAGCCCATGGAACAGGTCCTACTGCCAACCCCTTTCACAGATGAGCACACTGAGGCTCACAGGGCTGAAGGGACAGCTGGCAGCAGAAGAGCCGGTTCGTGCCCCAGCGTTCTGCTCCCAACTCGCTGCCTCTGTCCTTAGTGGAACAAGTCCAGGGAAGTAGGAGGGACTCAAGCTGCAGAGAATTCGGGGTGTGCCCATCAGCAGTCCCCCAGGGAGCAGCTCAGAGTCAGGCCAGGGGAGGCCTGGGAGGCCTGAGAAGCCGAGGAGACCCTGGGAGAAATAGGTTCCTTCCCTCCCCTGGTCGGCCTGGAGCCATGGAGTGTGAGCTCTGAGGGAAGGCCCTCAGATTGCCCCTGGATCGGCCTCCACTGACTCCACTCAGTCAGTCAGCATGTCCATACTGAGCACCTACTATGTACCACTCACTGTGCCAGGCCTCGGGGACACAACAGTGAACAAGACAGACAAAAGCCCAGCCCTCACGTAGCTGATCTTCTAGAAGAGGAGACAGACAGAAATAACTATATGACATTAATTATGGCAGCAAGTGCCATGAGAGAAAATAAAGAAGATAAAGGAATAGAGAGGAATGGAGGGAGTGATCCAGGAAGGCCTCCCTGAGGAGGTGGCCTCTGAGTGGCGACTGAAGGTGGAAGAGGGGCGAGTCATGGCGATGCCAGGGGAAAGGGCTTTCCAGGTAGTGCAAAGGTTTGGAGGGAACTTGCCTGGTGCGTTCAAAGAACAGCAAGAAGGCTGGAGTGCTGGACACCGTGAGTGGGGCTGGGAGGACAGGCGATGGGGAAACTGAGGCCCAGAGAAGGGGAAAGACCAGCCCACGGTGACTAGGAGGCGTCGGTGACAAGACACGGAGAAGAGAGCTTGCAGCCCCTGCACACTTGCTGTGTGCCCAGCAGAGGGCGGGACACTCGCTCCGTCAGTCCTCGGCCATCACTAATCCTCACATAGTGAGGTAAGACTCATTAGTCCCATTTCAGAGATGGGAGGACTGAGGCTCTGAGACACCATGTTTCCTGGAAACCAGGCTCCTTCTACCTCCACCCCACTGTGATCCAAGACTTTCTCAGGACTCTTGGGACTGACAGAATACATTCTCGCTATCTCTCAGCCTACAAAGGAGGAGCCAGTCACACAGCTACCAGCGCCAGGGCCAGAACCCGAGCCCGGGTCTCCCGACTCTCTCAGGGCAATCGGCTAGAATTCCTTGGTCTATTGTCACCTGCCCCCAACTGTCTGGACCATACCCTGGGCAGGATCCACCTCCCTTTCCCAAGGGAAGGCCCTTCCCAGCCCCACCCTGGCCAGCTCCTTCCCCCAGTCAGGCCTCAGCTCAAATATCCCCTCCTCCCACCGGACACAGCGCCCAGTTTGTTCCCCTCTGCGCTTGGGCTGCTGTGGAAAGCGCCGTGGCTGTTTGCAGACCTGACAGTGTCTCCCACAAGGAGCACAGAGTCCTGCAGGTTTTGTTTCAGCTGTTGCCTCAGTGCCTCGCACGCAGTAGCTGCTCCATAAACATTTATGGTTCAACCAGGACTGCAAGCTGACAGATGAGAGGAGGGACTCCTGCCCACTCCCACCCAGGGGGCCGGCCCAGGACTCACTTGAGGATGCTGAAGTAGCAGGACAGGCAGACGACCATGATGATGATGCAGGAGATGCCGACGGCAAGTGGGAGGTGCTGCTCCCAGGGCCACTCGTAGTCTGGAGGTGGGAGGGAAGCCGTGAGCCCGCATTGCGCTAAGTACAGCCTGGTCTCCATTTCCCAGGGCTGGAGACCAGAGCCTCAGGACAGTGTGTCCCAGACCCCGCATGATCGGGCCACCCCCAAGCCCTCCCGCCTCAGCCCCTGCTGCCCTCCCCTTGCACCCTGAGCCCTCGCCACACTGGCCCCCTGGCTGCCCCCTGCGGCTCCACGCTCAGTGCCAGCTCAGGATTTTGCACTTGCTGCTCTTCCTGAAGCACAGAGGTCAAGGGCAGTGACTCTGGCCCTGGACGACCTGAGTTCAAAGCCTGGCTCTGTCGTGTCCTCACTGGTGGCCGGGTCACGTCCCTCACACTCTCGGTGGCTCGGTTTCCTCACCGGTACAATGGGGTTAACAACAGTGCTCGTCTCACGGGGAGCTGTGAGGGTCACCGACTCACTACCCACCGCACTCAGAGCAGTGCCTGCAGGCCCCCAGCTGTTATCACCTTCGCACAGCGGCTCCTTCTCCTCGTCCCCTTCACCCTCGCCAGCTCCACCCCCGCCCCCCCCCCCCGCCAACGCCCTCTCTAGCCCTCGCCCTCTCTACCGTTGCCCCTCTCAGTCCCCTTTCCCAGAAACCTGACTGCCCTCTGGGTCTAGAATCTAGATCGATCTGATTTCCTCTTTTCTGTATGTTTATTTTCTGTCTCCCCTCCCCCGAGTGCCAGTTCCAGAAGGCAGGGATTTTGGTCTGCTTTGTTCACCACTGATTTCCCAGTGTCTAGCATGGCGCCACGCATAGTAGGAGCTCAATAAATAGATGTGGCCATAATGAACGTGTCCAGCACACTGTACAAGTTCCATGCAAGCCGTTTTCCTTCCCTTCCCTACCCTTCCCTTCCCTTCCCTTCCCTTCCCTTCCCTTCCCTTCCCTTCCCTTCCCCAGGTCAATGGTAGAATCAAATCAATTCAACAAAACTTTCCCAAGGACTTCCTGTGTGCCTGGCCCCATTCTGGGCACTGGAGACACAGGCACAGGGTAGATACTACCCACAGAGCTCACAGCCCAGGTGGAGACAGGTGGGTGAAGAGACACACACAGAACAGGTGAGCGATGGGAGGGGGATGTGTGGTGGGTGGGGCTGGAGTACCTGCCAAGCCCCACTGTCCCCAGCACTTGGAAGAATCCTTCTTTAAGTGAGTGTTGACCTCCCCCTCCTCCCCCCAGTGCAGACAATGCCTGAGGCAGCCTCCCCTCCCCTACCTCCCCCTCTTCTTTGCCTAGTGGCAATGTGCCCACCCTGAGGTTCGGGCCAATCACGATTATCCTAGTCCCCTTTCCAGACATTTGAGTTCCCAGCATTCACTGCAGTTGAGAGAGGCCATGTGACAGTCCTGGCCAATGAGATGCAAGGGGAAGTCTGCTAGGGAAGCTCCTGGGAGGATTTTTGCTTCCTGATAAAAGAGAGATGTGGGAGTGCATTAGCTCGTGGCAGCCTTTCATTCCCTTTGTCCTGGGGGCCTGAGGCTGTGTGCAGCAGCCAACTTGGGGCCATGAGGTGGCAAATTTAAGGATAAAATATTACCATGCTAAGGATGACAGAGGAAAAGAAGGCAAGGCTCTGGGGCGACATCACTGAGCTGCTGTATGAACCTGGGAATGTGAGCTAATTCAACACTTCTATTACAAAAGCCATGCGATAAAGTTGCAAAGAGTTGTTTTGGGGATGCAGCTACAAGCGAAGGACTACATTTCCCAGGATCCCTTGCAGCTATGTGTGGCCAAGTGGCCAGTTTCACCAATAGAACTTGAGAGGGAGTCATGTGTCACTTCCAGGCTAAGGCTTGTAGGAAGCAGGTGTGGTCTCCCTGCTCTCCTTCCCCTTTGGTTGGATGCAGACAATGGCAGGGCCCTTAGAGTTCCTTAACTTGGGGTCCACAGACCTCCAACAAGGTTGCAGACAGAAGTCAGAGGTCTGGGACTTGGATGGGATGACATCTTTATTTTCACTCACTTCTGACACCTCACATTCCCTCCCATTAGGAATGGAGGGAGCAAACCACGGTGTGAGAGCATCATCAGTCACTCAGCTGCCAACAGAAATCACAGCTGTTCTCCTACCACATTGCGGCTGCCAGATCTCACTTATCTCATCCGCTTTCCAATGACAGCATTTATAGAACTGCCCTCGCTCCTGTTTCTAATGTGTTAATAGAGAAGCATATATTTCCAGATAACAAGTATATTTAAGGTATTTTTTATAATTGCATAAAATTAGTTCCCCTGTAATCCTATTACTTTATTTATACCTTTAAGAACATTATTCTGAATGGGTCCTCAGGCCTCCCTGACTGCCAAAGGGTCCATGACACAAAAGGCCAATCATCTCTGTCCTGAGAGATGGAGCCACGGGAGGAAGACCGCCCACAGACCAGCACAGCTCACGTTGGACTGTTACACAGCAAGAAGCACATTTCCACGTGTGAAAGCTCGGACCGCGTGGGCACCTGTTACTGCAGCCTCGCCTGCCCACCCCGGCCAGTGCGCCATGTCCGTCGTTCCTCTGTTACCTGCCGTGGCGGCGTCCTCGGACGGAAGCCCAGATGCTCGGCCAGGGCCAGTGTCTGGGCACAGCGTGAGGTGGGGGGGGATTCTAACTGCTCGGCACTCACCACGGACACTCACCGTTAAGCCACTGGACGCGGGGGCTCCACTCGCTCCACAGGCTGTTGTAGCTCGGAGCCCAGGCCCGCACCCGCGCGCTGTAGAGGGCCCCGGGCTTCAGGGTGCTGGCTGGGATGTGGAGGGTGTGCTCCCTGTAGGTCACATTACTGACTAGGAACTGGGAGGGAAAGGAAGACATTACTGCACGGCTGGGGGCGGCGGTACCACTCGCACTCGGGCTGCCGTCCGTGGCTGACCCCACAGTGAGTACGAGCCAGCAGCCTGGTGTTTGGTCGTTCCTCCAGCTCAGGCATTGTTTGGCACCTCCATCGCTGTGACTGGACTCGAGGGAGAGGGGTCAGGAAACCGGCCCCCCTACCCCCCTGACCAGCCCTCTGACATGACGGGGGCGAGTCGCTGAACCTTTCTGAGTGTTAGTTTCCTCATCTGTAAGTTGAGGGCAAGGGTCCCTACTGTCACTTTCGGGCTGTGTGACCTTAGGTTAGTGACAGAACCTCTCTGGTCCTCTATGTCCTCTTCTGCAATGAGGATAATAAAAGTGCCTGCCTCCCAGGGTGGCTGTGAGGAGTAAATGGGTTGATGCAGGGACGCGCTTAGGACAGGGCCTGGCACGCAGGGAGCGTGATGATCTTTCCGAAGCACAGACAGAGTCAGGGAGCCCCTCGCTCCCTCATGGGCTCTCTAGAGCCTCATGGTCCAGCCCAGTCACATGGCCCCGAACCTCAGCCCCGCCCACCCAGCCCAGTCACATGGCCCCGAACCTCAGCCCCGCCCACCCAGCCCCCACTGGGAAGAGACTTCCAGGATCTGTAGCTAAGTGGACAAGGTTAGATGAGATTAGTAGGTGTTGTCTGCTGCTTGTTGTGTTAAAAAAATGGTGTTGGACAGACTGAGGGCCCCAGGATCCCCCCTTGTATCTTGCCCTTGTGCGGTCCCTCCTCTTGAGTGTGGGCAGGGCTGTGACTTGTTTCTCACCGACAGAACATGCAAAGGTGATGGGTGTGTGGGACCGCACGTGTGATTACATCACGTGAGACTGTCATTCTGACTCCCCGGACGCCCTCTCTCCCCCTGGCTGGCTGGGAGAAGGCCACGAGGGAAGAACGGAGGGTGGCCTCCTGCCAAGGGCCAGCAAGGGCCTGCGGCTCTCGGCCCAACAGCCCACGGCACACGGATGCTGCCAACATCACAGGAGCCTGGGAGCCACCCCTCCCTGTGAGCCTCAGGCGAGACCGCAGCCCTGGCCACACCTGCCTTGACCAGTCAGCGTCGGGAGGGAGACGATGCTGAGTGAGGGTCTCGCGGTGGGACTCGGTCATCTGAGAGTGTCCCTCCCGGCCCCTGGGACACCCAGCTGTGCCCAGAGCCTCCTTTACCGGGAGGAGCAGGGCCCACAAATCACGTCCCTTCTCTGCGCACCTGGCACCAGGAAGGGGTGGAGGGACAGAAGCCGGGACTCCAGGTTCCGGGGCTGCTGTCAGCCGGGCTCCTCTCTGTCCCCCACCCTGGGGCGGGGTCTCCGCTCCCTGAGTCCCAGGAGCTGGTGCAGACCCCCCACAGTGCCCACTCACCTCCGTGGGGTCATCTTCATTTGAAATGTTGACCAGGTAGAAGAGTTCAGAGTGCAGGATACTCTCAGGAGGGTACGGGTCGCTCCAGGACAGCTGCCACGTGTGGGAGTCGGTGGCGTTAACCGTGAGGTTTCCGGGGGCCCTGGGTTTCACTGGGGAGAAGCGGGGCCTGGTGAGGGCTTGTGGGCCCTCGGAACCCGGGCCACTGAGGTTCTCAGTCAACTCCACCTCCGCACACATTTGTAAGGCACCACGCAGACTCACAGGCATAACCGCTGCCATCCTAGCACTCATTCTAGCGTCGCTCCACTTCTACCTGGAGCCACAGGGAGCCCAAAACGGAACCCAAACCTCAGCATTTGCACTTTCGTCCTTCACACTTTTTCTTTATTTTGATTCAAGTGTTTAAACTTAGTCTCTTTTTTAAGCAATCATATCAGTGAGATCACGAGTATATAAGATGCATTAAAGTCAACATACACGTGTGAGAATTATTTTAACTCACGGGTTTGTTCATGGGTCAATTTACCACCAGCGGGTGAGCAGGCCCCTCAGGAACTGCTGATGGAGTGGTGGAGGCTGCGAGAGGCTGCCTGTCCTGCTCAGTAGCTGGCTGACCTAGGCAGGTTACTTGCCTTCTCACTACTACAGTTTATTCAATTGCAAAATGGGGATAGGAACTCTCTTTTGGAAACGGAGGCTCAGGGAGGTAATGTGACTTGCCCAAGGCCACACAGCAATAAATGGTGTTTTAAACTCCAGTCACTACCCCCAGCCAGCTCCTGGGGAATGCCTGCAGGGGCCCCGGGCAGCAGTATAAAGTCAGCCTTCCATGTAGACCAAGCATGTCAAACTCAAAGGCTAACACGGGCCAAATGAACGAGGCATGCAGCCCGCGGCTGCGAGTTTGACATGCTTGGTCCGGACTGTGTGAAGCAGCAGCAGCTGAGCAGTCGAGGGAGGGTGGAGGACGGTTCCCAGCTCAGTTTCCGGCCTGCAGCAAGCACGCCTTCCACCAAGTAGCCTGCTCAACACCCAGTCAGGGCACTCACATTGGGGGGGTTGAGATGTCTGAGCTGAAGGGACCTGGTGCTGCTGAGCCCAACCCCATTTCAAAGAGGGGAGGACTAAGGCCCAGACAGGGCAAGAACCCCATCGAGTTTAAGGAAAGGCTGCTTGGGCCCCTCCCCCAGTTGGAGCCAGCCTGGCCCACCCCAGGGCCGGGGCTTAGAGCACCCGCCCCGCCCCGCCCCACTCACCATGCTCGCTGGGCCTGAAGGAGCCACTCCACAGCCACTGCTTCCCAGCCCACAGGTCCAGCTGGTAGGTGTCCCCACTGACTATGATGTCCATCAGCATGTCGCACAGGCACACAGCGCTCTCTCCATTCACAGGGACACACGTGTGGTTTCTGTGGACACGGGCTGTGTTAGGCTGGTCATGCACGTATGGGTGTCCCCCGTACATGCCTTAAGGAACCACATGCTCTTTCAGTTCCTGGTCACCTGCCTCAAGGACCAGGTCAGGGGACTGGGAAGCAGAGTGGCCAGCGTGTGTGGTGGGGATGGTGGGCTAGGACTGCCTTCCCTGCTGCTACAGCCCCTCACCACACCACACCCCTCGGTCCCAGGACTCAGCTCGTCCCTGAAGGCCAGTGAAAGGGAAGACCGTGGCATTGAAGAACCTGTAACAGCACGTGCGTGTGCTAGCATACCTCTGGGCGCAGCCTCTCCCGTGCAGGGCACTGCGGCACAAGCCCTGCCACCACACGTCATCCTAACGTGCTGCCCCAAACAGCCAACCTGTGTCTCATCCAGGGGGCACATTTTCTGTAAAGGGCCAGACTCTGAGAGCCAGACAATTTCTGTCCCCACTACACACCCTGCCGATCAAGCACAGAAGCAGCCGTAGGCAACACATGAACGAATGGGCGTGGCCATGTGCCAACTTACAAAACAGGTGGTGGCCCAGTGTGGCCCAGGGTTCCATCTCTGGTCTAAGCCGATGTACTGCACACGGGAGCACAGTGCGCCCACCTTAGCGCATCATGGAACACCACCTGTCGTGCACCCACATGCTGCGCCGCGGGGCCTGACTGTGCGCCTGCGTACCTGACTGTGTCCTGGGCACCCCGTGATGGCTCCCCATGTACATGGACTGTCCCAGTGAATCACGGAACATGCACCCACGTTCCATGCTGAACTCCACACCAACACTGCGCCCCAACAATGGTCATGCCCGTGGTCTCTGAGTGTGGTCTGGGGACCCACAGGTCAGACCATCTGCCACTGAACTCTCTCTCTCACACACGTACCAAGGAGTTTTCTAGAGATCATGTGGTGTGTTATGGTGTCATTGCTCTGGTGGCTTGTGTGCTATGATTTAAATGTCCTGGTGTAATTCCTAACTGGGTACAGAGCGATCGCTATAGGCCAACTGCACAAACGCTTTTGCGGTCCTCGCTAATTTTAAGCATGCTAGAGTCCTGAGACTAAGTGCTTGAGAACCGCTGGTCTGGTCCAATATTCCATCCACATCCACATGCAGCCGGCCTGGGAGCGTGTGCTCGGAGCGTCGTGACACACCCACTGTATCACACGCTGCGCCCCGGCGCCCCAGCTCCAACCCTGGGCCCAATAAGAACCGCAGGGAACTGCATTGGGCACCCGGCACTCCACCGGGACCAGGTGAACTCAGGCCAACCTCCCGGCCTCCCACTGCCCCCCACCTTCCCTGGCACAGGCTTACTCCGAGTTCGGAAAATCCAGCTGGTAGGTGAGGCGGAGCTCGGCGCTGCAGTCGGTGGGGCCGCCCATCCTCCACTCACAGGTGGAGGTGCTGAGGTAGTCGGAGAAGCAGGTGGGCCCATCCCGGACCTGAACACTCCCTGGGGAGACACAGGAGCGCTCTGAGCAGCCGCAGCCCAACAAGCAAGAGGGCCATGGGCCACCGGGAAGGTCGGAAACAAGCCGGAACAGGACCAAGGGGCCCGTCACAAAGCAAGGGAACCACCGCCCCGGGACCGCTCCTGTGCCGTCTTCACAGAGCCTCCAGCTGCACTGAGGCGATCCTGAAGCTGAGGAAGTGCCCTGGGGTGCGGGCCCCCTGGGGGGACACCCCAATGACCTTTATGTGCTGCAGCTCACCTACTTGCCTTTGGCCAAATTAAAGGGAAACACGTGGCGGGGTGAGGAGGGCGACCCGCCAGCAGCACCTGCCCTGCAGCGTGTGCGGGAGGCAGTTGTCCCTGCAGCGCTCCCGCCCCACCCCCTCCACCCCGCTGAGCTCAGGAGGCTGATCCCCACGGTCTGTCACCCAGGTGCCCTTGGCCGCTGGCTCCTTGTTGGGTTTGGCCAATATCAAAGGGCGGGATGAGAGGGCTGGGTGCTTCGTCCAGCTGGTCAGCGGCAGAGCTGGCTTTGAACCCGGCTTACTGCGGCGCCTCCCCCCTGGCCTCCCGGCCTCCACCCTTGTGCTTACAGACAAAGGGATCCCTTTTAGTGTCAAGGTCATGTCGTTCCTGTGCTCAAACCCTGCCAGGTCCTTCCTGACTTGGCCACCTGCCTCCGGCCCTACCCCAGCCTCCTCTGGTCCCTCCAGCTCTCCAGGCAGCAGGCTCTGGGCTCCGGCCTCCACTGAGGTCCCCCCGCAGGTATCTGCACGCTCCCGCTCCTTCAAGTAATGATGTTTACTTTGAATTTATATTAGTTCACACAAACACTCCATCCATGCTTTTGTTCCGGCCCTCCGGTCCAGTTTAAGAACCCATTGTGGCCCTCGAGTCAAAAAGTTTGCCCACCCCTGATCTAGAATTAGCTTATAATTAGGGCCATCGGTCATTGGCGGTCTTCTCCCACTACAGCAAAATCTCTAAGGCAGTGGTTCTCAACCTTGGCTGCACATTAGAATCACCTGGGAATCTTCTTAAAAATCCTGATTTCTGGGCCTCATCCTCTGGAAATTCTGTTTCTTTGTTATGGGGTGGGCCAGGGATCTTTGTTTTGTTCACTGATTGAGCCTGGCAGGTAGACAGTCCATACATGTTGAATGAATGAATGAATGAGAGGTGGTGACTTACCAGAGCCTGCTGCCCACACCAGGATCAGGCAGCTCACAGGGAACGTGAGCCCAGAGCCAAGCCACCCCATCGGGAGGTCCTAAGGCACCTGCTGAGAGAAGGTGAGCCAGGTGAGTGCTGACTCGTGGTCCCCACCACCCCAATCATCCCGAGTGCAGCCTTCAGAACTCACCTCACTCCAAACACGACCACCCCCCACCCTGGCCATTTCTGTCTCGGCAACAGTGAGCCCTCCCTGTTCATCAGAGATCTGTTCATATCATGAAACCCAACACAGATGCACAAAGCCCCGCGTGAGAGCCAGGAACACCTGTCCCGAGAGATGCTTCTTGGAAAAAATCCCTAAGTTTGAGCATCCTCAGGCGTTTGGAAGTTCACAATGCACATGCGCACGTAAAGGTTCTGATAAGTCCTGCAACAAGGAAACTTACTTTTCTTCACTTAACTCAACACTTACCAAATTTATTTACCCAACCTTCATTTGTGTGTGTGTGTCAACCCCCCAATTAATCCTCCGAAGGACTTACAATTCCTTGAAATAGTTTGGAAATTCTAACCCGACTCTCCAACCTTACAGAGTTGGTTAAATAAATGATGGTTTACCCATGCAATGAAGTATTGGGCAACCACTAAAAATGATGCTGTCGAATATGTTAATCTGACTACATTAATGGCCTCAATTCTTCACTCCTGTGTCCGTGTAACCTTGCCTTGAACCCCACCCCACCCCCACCGCTCTGGGCAGGGCGTTCTCACTGCATTTGGACTCTGGCCTCGCCATGTGAGTGGCTTTGGCCAGCAGAGTATTAGCCAGAGTGAGGCAGGCACAGGCCTGCTTTGCACAACCACTGCCTGGAGAACGTGCCTGGCCTCGCCTGTTGGAGGACGGTGACGGGCCAGTCCCAGCAGTCTCCCTCCGCACTGGCGACGGGCGGCTGCCCAGCCCTGTGGTGACCTCCACCTCCGCAGGCCTGGCAGCTGCCCCGCGCTGACCTCAGGGGCATGAGCGAGCCCACGAGGTCAGGCCAGCCAGACGGCTGCGCCCACACGCTCGAGCTGAGTCCCTGACACGGCCCGAGGCTTTGTGCCTGCTCCTCACACAGCACATTACCCCTCCCCGACTTCTAGCCCCACAGAGGGTTATAGCAGTGAAAGCATGGACCGCCCTCATGTGTTAACGACATCCCACCAGACGTCACTGGGGAATAAAGACTAGAAGGTACAGACACCCAAAGAGGAAGCACAGTTCGAATCCCCCAGGTCACAAGCCCAGCAACACCCCACTCACATGTGGGGATCGATTCTCTCTTTGCTGCTATGGACACAGGGAGGTAAATGTGAAATTCAGTTACCAAAATAGCAGCGCCGTCTACACATGAAAACTTGCGTCTTAAACTCACTGCACCATTAACATCACTCCACGCCACAAGGTTCAGATGCAAAGCCTCAGGTCAGTGTGGCCCCCGGTGCGGTGTGCCTGGCGCTGGGCTGAGCCTTCCTTACTCTGTTACTTTGTTCCGCACAGGCCGTGTCTGCCCGTCCCCGGGGGACCTCACCACACGTTTCTCCGATCATCTCCTTAAGTCCCGCACCTGCTCGCCATGCGCTCCTGTGAGCCCTCCGACCTCAGTCTCCATGGCACTGGGCGCTGCGGGGACCACGGGAGCTGACACACGGGAGGCCTCGAGCCACCTGGCACGGGGGGGGGTGGAGGAAGGTCGCCAGTGGTTTCCTGAGGACGATGCTCAGAAGCAGAACCCCATCGGGCCACCAGCGTCACCCCCGGCACTCCCGGCACCTCATGCCGAATGCCCCCTACAAAGCACTGGCCTGGGCTGTATCCGGGCAGTGCTGACGGCGCCCGGGGGTCTCTATCTTGGGGTCATGTCCAGAGAGGCGGCTGCCAGGCCTCCTCCTGCTACTCGTAGCCATGTGCTGCTCAGCTCAGTCGCTGTCTCTGGGCTCCGGCTGCTCTACCTGCACCAGGAGTGACGGATGATGCTCGCAGGTGCCCTGCACAGAGGAGGCGGCCCTAACACACTCTGCCCTGTCCGCCCAGGACCCAGCCGGGCATGGGATCACCATGCGTCCGGCGCCCAGGTCATGGCTTCTAAATCCTACTCTGCTTTGAAAGGAACCAGCGCCCCTTGGGGAAATTCTGGCTCCAGGGGCAGGGAGGTGCCCGCCTGGATTCGCTGTGCCTGGAAGGAAGAGCTCAGGAATGCTGGGGACACGGTGAAGGGCAGGAGTCAGCTCGGACGGTGCCCACTGGCCCACCTGGGCACAACGGAAGCATCACAATGACATTATATAAACCAGCTGTAGCCCCGGGAGTTACAGCAGGGGTGCAGGAGTCTGCAGTGACAGGTCACAAGTGGGGGAGCAGGGACAGCTCTCATCACCAAGGCAGCCTCTAGCTCCCCACCAACCTCGTGTTAGTTATTTACTAATTAATGAGTCAAGTAACTAACATCATGATTTTACATTATATATATAATTGTGCATAACTTTACGCACAGAAGCCTGGAAGACACCACCTTCACCACGCGGTCAGAGTTAGCATCGCCCGGAGAGGACCGAGCAAGGCCACGCGCTTCCTGCAGCTCTGCCCCGAGAGGAAAGGACGGGGCCCTCGGGGTTCCTGCCCCGAATTCACAAACCTGCAGAGGCTCAGACAGGCCGGAGCTGAGGGCGCCGGGGAGGAACTGGCCCGTCCCCACGGGGGCGAAGGGCAAGGAGCGTGTGGGAGAGACTGTTCTTTCCACGCCGAGGGCCGCGGTGGCCTGGTTCACTGCCGGGCCCAGTGCCGGCGTCGGTGGCGGGCACGCAGCACGTGTTCAGTGAAGCTCGGCTGAATCAAGTCACTTTGGAGAGACACGTGCCCCTGACGGGCTCCGCATGGGGCTGCAGGCTCTCCCCGGGAGACGGGTACCCCTTCCTTGCGGTCACGTGATGATCAGGAAGCGGGGGAGGGAGTGCGGTGGTGGGCTGTGATGCCGCTTCCTCTGCAGAGTCCCGTAACTTTCCCTCTCGCAGCTCGCAGGTGCCACCGCGTCCTGCGGCAGAGGGGGCCAGGGCGTCACTTCAGCCCCGATTCTGAATAAAGAGAAACAGGGAGGCGAAGATGCCTGTCCGAGGCCACACCGCAGAAGGGCTGTCGTAAAGGCCTCCAAAAGGGTGGACTGAAACAGCACCCTGACCGCAGCCAGGGTGTCATCCTTGACACACACACACACGCACGCACACACACACACATGTGCGCTCGCACACGGCACTCATCAGCAGGCTGCACAGGATGCGGGAGCTGCATTTCAGGGAAACCATGGCCCAGGTGCAGGTAAATAAAGGATTAAAAACAAGAACTGCCAAGGGATCCCAGTCAAGCATGTGGCAGGACGAAACAACTTCCAGCCCGCACCCTCAGTCAGCGAACCTGACCTGCTGGAGTTGGGGGGAGTCTCAGGGGTGGCCTGCCTCTGGACAGGGAGCCCCGCAAACACCCATCTCGGACATGCTGCGGTGCAGCGTCTGCTCGCACTCCTCCAGGGACGGGGCACGCACCCCCAGGCCCTGGCTGTGCAGAGCCTGACCGTTGGCCACAGCTGCCTGTGTGGAGCCAAGGACCGTGCAGATAAAATCCTGGTGTGAAGTACCCGCATGTGCTCGGCACTCTGTGAGGTGCGGTAGAAGCATGACCGTACGGGGTCTGCCCGAGACCCTGCCAGATGGGCTGTGATCCCCACTTTCCACCCAAGGAACCGAGGCCAGAGGTCAAATAACTTGCCCATCAGGTCCCACCGCTAATGAGAGGGCAGAGCTAGAGCCAGGACCCAGGTCTGTAGGCTTCCGAGCCCAAGGCACCTTCCAATGTATCAACGCCTTCAACTTCTCCCAGAACCGCAGGCCGAACCCAACGAGATGAATGAAATGAGCCAGAAAGAGCTGGCCATCCTGCTTGTCAATTTCAAACATCGGCTGCCCGCGCACAGGACCAGGAGGGCTGACTGAGCAGCAGAAAAAGCCGAGGATCTGTACTGTCTACAAACCCCCATGAGCCAGAGGTGAAGCAGCAACTTAAACAAACAAAAACACCAACTAACGCCATATTAACAGACATGAGAGCCAGGACAAGGGAGGGGACTGTGCCCACTCACACCTGTGCTTCCCTGTGGAAGAAACGCCGCCGACCTGAAGCTTGTTGAGGATGACAACTGGCACAGAGAGGGCCCCAAGCCCCGGGGACAGGTCTGTGCCTGAAGGCTCCGCCCTCCTATATCCTGCAGCCTCATCGTTCACTTAACAGGCGATATTTACCACATCCCTCTACCATTTATCCATATTAATTTTTTAATATATATTTTTTATTGATTTCAGAGAGGAAGGGAGAGAGATAGATAGAAACATCAATGATAGAAACATGCAACCCGGGCATGTGCCCTTGGCGGGAATCGAACCTGGGACCCTTTAGTCCGCAGGCCGACGCTCTATCCACCGAGCCAAACCGGCTAGGGCTAGTCATATTAATTCATTCAACACTCAAAACAGCCCCAGGAAGTGGGTGCTATTATTCCCCATTTTCCGAGGAGGAACCAAGGCACAGAGCGGTGTGAGCGACTGGCCTGGCTGCAGGTGGCAGCCTGGATGTGAGCAGGGCGCTCAGGCCCAGAGCCCCCGCGCTCAGCCTCCCCCTCTGTCCTTAATGTCCTGGGACCACGGGTCCGTCTGAACATGGGTGCAAACTCCAACCCTTCTTACTAGACAAGCGCGGACCTTTAGCTTTGCCTTCCACTTTAGGGGTCCACAGATCCCTGAGCCCAGGGAGGACTCCAGGTCAGAGGCCCCTTCTCTGGGGCAATGAGCAGATTGGAGGGTCTTTGAACGGGGTTGTGGCAGGACTTTCCTCAGCCCAGAGTGGGGCTGAGAGAATAAGGGGATGTGGACTAAAACAGACCTGGGTCACCCCAGCCTGTCCTCTACCTGTGAAGGCCCAGGAGCGAAAGCGGCCAATCCAAGGGGACACTCTGCCTGATTCCACGTATGTACCATTTCAGTGTGTAACGTTCTCGAAATGGCAGCACTGGAGAGGGAGCGCAGGTTACTGCGGGGTAAGTGAGGACAGGCAGGAAGGGAGGGCGGTGTGGCTATAAAAGGCAACACAGAGAGGGATCCCTGTGAGGACAGACCACTTGGCGTCTTGCCTGCGGGGGTGGAGACACAAGCTGTGCGTGTGGTAAAACTACACAGAACTAAAGGCCTGCACGCGAGTGAGTGCAGGACAGCGGGGCGAGCTGCACGAGGTCCTGGCTGTGGCCGCCACCTCAGTTCTGTAAGGTGTCACCTGCGCGCAGCTGAGCGTACGGGGATCTCCGTATTATCTCTTTCCCCTGCGAGTGAGTCCACAGTTATCTTAAAATTAAAGGTTTAAGGAAATAAGAAACCTCAAGCCCCTGCCACCCATCCACTGTCCCCTCTCCGTCCCCCACAAGTCTTGCGTCCACTGGCCCTGACACTCCCAGCCCTTCTGTCCGGTGCAGCCTTTGCACCCAGAAACCCATCCCCTAACCAGGGCTGCCCGTGGTACTTATCACGGCACCTGCTTCTATCTGCCGTGTACTTATCACCGTCTCTAATCATATCACTGAGGTTACATGTGTGAATGCTGGTTTTATTTCAGGAGGTAGATGGCAAAGATAGAATGATCTGACTGCAAACAATTTTCAACTTCCTCAGATCAAAACATGCCAAAGAAGAAACAGAAAGCAAGCAAAAGACTAGAAAAAAGTAGTAATGCACATAATGGAGGGTTGATGGCTTATCATATATAAAAAGGTCTTACAAAATCAGGTCTTACAAGACAAACAGCCTTTAAGAAACATCGGCAAAGGACATAAATGGGTCACCGAGGAAGCATTCAGTGTTGCCACAACATGCAATAGCCCCTCTCATGCTGCTGCTGGGTCCTGAAGGGGGGCGTGTAGAAGATGGCCTGTGACGCTTAAATGATTTCTTTGTCTTCACACGTAGAGGAGAACGCGAGCCCACGAGGCCGAGCTGTGGTCTGCCGTGGGCACTGCCTTGTCCCCAGGGCCTAAACAGGGCCTGCTACGGGCCCAGTGTGTGCTCAATAAACAGCTATGAAGTGAGTGGTTGGCTAATCTTCAGCAACAACAAATTCAGTCATCTACCTTTAAACATGGGTATCTACCAAGCTTTTGTGCATAACCATGGCTATGCATTCATAACGTTTATCATGTGCCCGGTATTGTTCTCAGTGCTTACAATGTATTAATTAACCAACTTGGTTCTCACAATTCTATGAAGTGGGTGCCATTAAAACCCCACTTTACAGATGAGGAAACTGAGGCACAGAGAGGCGAGAGCACCGCCTGTGGTCCCAGAGCTGGGTTGGAAGGCCAGCCTGAGCCGGCTCAGAGGGAAGCGCCCCTGGCGGAGAAGCCCATCTGACTCACGCTTTATCTGGGGCAGGTGAGTGGCGAGTCCTGAAATGTCAGCGGCCAGCACCGTCCGGAAGTGACTGAGGGGGCTCTTGCTCCTCTCCTCACTCCTGACCACAAACAAACCAGCGCGAAGGGGCTGGATCGGCAGACAGGATGCAGCCAGTCCCATGACTAGAGGCCTGTGGAGGAAGCCAGCGACACTCAGGCTGCGGGGGGCCTCCCTGGGGAGCCATTGGTCCCTAAAACTCCAGGCTTAGGCCAGCCCGGAGCTTCCTCCGGCCTTGGGACGGCGGGGCGGGGGCCAAGGACACACTTCTCCCTGAGGCAGCAGCCTTCCCGTAACTGCTGACAGGCCGGGATTCCCAGAACCAGCAGCCGGAGTCAACAGCCCCGCCCAGGACAGCGAGATAGGCCAGGCCAGGGCCCCAGATGGCGTGGGCTCCGCCTGCCTGCCCCTCCTCCCGCCCAGCCAGTGACGGGAGGGCTGGCGGCATGCGGGCTCTGCTGGAGCAAAACCAGGAGCGAGAATCAGGAACTCAGCCAACGGAGCCCACCAGGCTCCTGCGTACCTACTGTGTGCTCCAGGTTCTCACCTATTCACCCATGTCCTGTGTGTCCTTATTGCAGGTGTTTTCTGAGCACCTACTTTGCGCCAGGTACTATAGATGCAAACAAGGCCATTCACTCACTCATTCCTTTCTTCCTTCTTCCCTTTGACAAATACTTGAGTGAGAAGAGAAGTTACTGGAAGGTGTGAGCAGAGACATGACACTGTGAGACTTTCCAAACCATCCCTCTGGCTGTGTGGTGTGAAAGGCCTGCAGCCCAGGGCAGAAGCAGGGCCCAGTGAGGAGGCTGTGGGACTGGTGGGCTGGTCCGGGCAGCAGGTGCGGGGCTCGCACAGGGTTGTGGGGAAGGACTGGGGAGAGGAGCTGGGGCCTAGGTCTGGCTGAAGGTGGAGCCCACAGGGTTTGCTGACAGAGTGGAACTTGGGGGTGGGTGAGAGGAAAAGGGGATGAGCAAGGCTGAGGCCGGAGCCCTGAGCGAGTGGAGTGGCCATTTACCGGTGGCATGGATCCTGGAGGAACCGCGTGAGAAGCAGGCCGCAGAGAGCAGGGGGCAGCACCCTCGGAAAGTGTAAGAGGCAGCAGGAGGCACCGTGGGTGCCCTCACTCACGCTGCTCCTGCAGGGGGTGACCCCGGGAGGACGAACAGAACCCTCCAGGGGAGGCGGGGAGTGTGGAGAGGGAGGAGAATGTCCCAGAGGGCACCGCGGCTCCCTGAGGGCAGGGGACGTGCCTCGTCAGAACCCGAACCCCGAGCCTGAGGCTGGCACACAGCAGGCACTCAGTACACGGCCACGTGCAGGTCACTGTGTCCTCGCTGAGGCCGTGCACAGCCTCCCTCTGTGCCGCGCTGTTCCAGACACTCTAAGGCCCCCCTGAGGTGAGCAGGATTATTGAACCCATTTTACAGATTCTGAAGGCTCCTGGGAGAGCAGAAGGAGGGGAGGGACAAGTGAAGAGGGAGCGAAGGGCCAGGAGGAGGCACGGCCAGTTCCTGCCACACAAGCCGGGCCCTTGGCTGCGGCGATGGGTAGGAGAGGTCGGGATGGAGCAGGGGTCGGCAGGGCCAGAG